TGATGAATGGCCCTCTCTGACTTCCCTGTGCTTGATTCATGACCTGCTTAGGGTCTGCTCTGGTACCAAGACTTTGGCTTGGCTGCTCAACCTCTGCTACCCTTCTTATCTGTCTTGTTTACTGATTCCACAGACGCTGGACCTGCTTTTCTAGACACCTGCATTTGGCCTTTCCTTAGGGGACATGGTTGCTGTTGTGTGGCTGCCCAGCTAACCTGAGACCCTCCGAGACCCAGCACAGGGTCTGGAAGCAGGATCTTGTGGCAGAGTGCATGCTTTTCTTGCAGGAGGCCCTGGGTTCACAGTCCCTAACCTTCCCAGTTGAAAGTTTCCTGTGAGAGGTGGCCCCGAGGCCTCTTGGATCAGCCCTGGGCTCGGCAAAGTGTCTCCTACAGCAGCTAAACCCATAAGCAGACAAGGAGCACAACGCAGATCCTTCCATGGTTCTGAACTGGGGCTCAAAAGCAGGCAGGCTCTCTCCTGGGAAGAATCCTACACCTTTTGTCAACACACAGACATGTGTCATGTTGTTCGTGCTGGAGGTCTCATTGTTAATTCTCTCATACTTCCTCCCTCCCCTGTCAACCACATGACATGAAATATAAATCACTGTATATTTTATCTGGTTGGTTGGTTGGTTGGTTGGTTGGTTGGTTGGTTGGTTGGTTGGTTGGTTGGTTGGTTGGTTGGTTGGTTGGTTGGTTGCATCCCCACTCACATTGTTTTGTCTTATTTTCTGGCTTATGTGATTGCCTGCATCACTCCTTTGAAGTGGCCATGAGACTTATCCTGATCACACTGAGGGTGACATCCTCCGTGTGGTGGACAGTGATAGGCCTGCATGACTTCCTTCTTAACAAAGGATGCCCACCCACTCCCCAAAATGGCAATCGATCTATCGCTACATCAGGCAAGCCACGTGGTGGTAATTCAAAGTTTCTCTGCCTTGTCAGTTTTGATGATTTGGTGTCCTGTTAATTCCGTGTGAGGTCATTTTGCAAATGGAACCAACAAATGAAAATGGGTGGGGAAGAGGGAGACGATGATGACAGAGGAGGGTGTGATGGACTAGGGCAGCGGTTTCCAACCTCGGATAGCCCCGGTGTTCTTGGACTGCAACTCCCAGAAACCCTGGCCAGCACAGTGAGGGGTGACGGCTTCTGGACGTTGCAGTCCAAGGACACCTGGGTGACCCAAGGTTGGGAACCACAGGGTCAAGGTACCTGATATGACCCTCTGCTATAGGGACATTTGCAACACACACCTGTCTGGAACCATTATGCATTGTTGTGTGAGCCATGGCAATGATTTCAGCCAGGACACAATGTAGAAAAATTGTCATCAACTCTGGAAGCTCTTTCTTGCTCCCTGGGAAGGGCAGCCATCGTGACCCCACCCGGCAGGGGGCCTGGAAGGAAGGACTTCCTTTTACCTGTTGGAACCCTCCCACCTCCCAGAAGCTTCAGGGCAGGAGGGGTTCCAACAGGTAAAAGGAAGTCCCTTCCTTCCAGGCCCCCTGCCAGGTGGGGTCATGATGGCTGCCCTTCCCAGGGAGCAGGAGAGAATTTCCAGGGTTAATGAAAATTTTTCCCATCTTGTGGGTGTTGTGGGGAGACGGGGAAGGGCGGGGGAGAGAAATCTTTTCTCTGCTCCATTTCCCCACCTTTTACATTCTACACCTCTCCACTCAATCTGCCTTTTTTCAAAAGGAGCGAGCGACATGAATGACCCGGCTGGCCTCTGGAGATCAAGGAGCAACCTCAACCAGAGATACAGAACGGGGTTGACGTGGCCAGAGTTCAGTGCCAACTCTCCCTCTTCGGGGTGCATCTCCCAGGCACTCTTTTCCCCGGCCACCTTAGGCCCTCGGTAGCCATGGGGAAACAAAACTGACAACTTTTTGGAGTGCTGGCTGAAAGCGGCTTCCTGGATTCCCAAGGGCCTTGCCCTCTCTCTCTCCCTCCTTTTTATCTGGGCCCCTTCTTTCCCAAATCCTGCTCTTCATCCCTTGCTTTCCCACCTGCTAAGTCTACGGACATGGCCGTTCCCCCGCTAAACTCTTTTCTGACTCTGCTTGCACCTTTCTGTCTTCCAGATGAATGAAGCTCTACCTTCACCCGACAGAAGAAGTCTTCTTAATTGAGAAAAAACACCCTCTTTTCTCCGTCCAGCAGCAAATGCATTACTGGACATTCAGGGGCACTGCAAACCTGCTTGGCCAGTGGGGAGGGGAAGACAGCCGGTGTCCAGCAGGCCGCCAATGGGTAGCTTTCACTGGCTGGGGGAGACTTTTCCCTGCCCAGCGACTCTAAGAGTTCATCACATTGAGGGGGGTGGTAGGGAGACAGGCAGGCTCCTTGGGGTGCTCAGTAGGGAGGGCAACATGGAGAGACTCCTCCCAATGCAAGGTTGCCATTGCTCAGGATTTGGGGAGAGAACTGCACCCCAAACCACGGAAGAGATCGCTTTGATTGCTTGTAGATAGACACTGAATCTTTTCCCAGGGCCACAAAGTCTCATTTCCACACTAGCCTCTTGTCCTTCTAAAATGCAACAGACTGCTTGCGGATTGGGTGAGGGAGGTTTTCTTTGGCCCCTTCCAGCAACTGTGTGTCGAGGTCTGTGTGTATCCCTTCTGCAGGAGGTAAGAGCGCGCACCCTCTTTCCCCTCTTTTCAAAATATCCCTGATTTTGTGTCTCCCCCCCCCCTCTGATTTTCAGCCTCATTTTTTCTCCTGTCACCCAGCTGCCTGGCATCCTCTTTTCCTCCGAGCAAACTCTTACAACGGGCAATGTTCCTTCTACATAGGATAAAATCAAAATGACATTCCCAGTTGAAGACCAGCTTATGCTGGATTCCACCACCCCCCACACACCCCCAAGAAAAATTCTACCTACAGTGTTTGTGGTAACGTGAAACTGTATCCCGGGGCAACCCCGTTAAAATAGAAGAGGGTTTTACCCCTGCCTTCTCCTCTTCTGGATGGGTGTGGTAGATAGACACTACCCATTCCTGATGATCTACAATGCCGGTCAACGCAATGCCAGTGCTATTATAAGGATAGCTGACAGAATGTGGGTCTAGGACATGGTCAATTCTAAACCCCTGTACAAAAGCTAAGCCTCGTTTCCCCTGCTGTTAACGACTATTGGCACCATTGACCCACATGGGATTTGGTGACGAAAGATAGCGTGTGAGTGTTTCAAGCAAAGAAGCACAGACGGTGCATCAGGGGAGGAAGGGGCACGCCCCATCCAAAATTTTGAGTTGAGGCACATGCAGCCTGCTTGGCCCATGAGCTGATGCCCCTCATAACTCTGCTTGCATCAGGCAGTTACCCTACTCATTGTCTTGCTTTGTGACTAAGGCTGTGAATACACAGTGCGGGAAAATATATTTAGATCTCCTGTGATCCAGTTTTTCGAAGAGGGTCCCTGATGGCTTCTGTGGGTGCAATTGCTACAGTCATCCAGACAACTTCAACAAGCTTTTTTTCCCCCTGTTCACTCTGACCACCGGCTTCTTTCATCTGACAAGGTGCTAATGGGCAATTTCCAGTCTCGTCTTTTTAAAGAAATATTTTTTCCAAAGTAGCTAAGCGCTAATTCTTTTCAGCGCTGACTTTAAAAGCCTTTTTTTAAAAAAAAAATTGGAGATTACATCTTACATTATGACTGCCCTTTTTAGGAGATTACATCTTACATTATGACTGCCCCTTTTGTAATAAAAACCTTAGAACTGCAGGGCTGGAAGGAGCCGTATGGAGGCACTGCAGGGAAATCAAACTTTCAACCTCTGGCTCCTCGGCCGGAGACCTCAACCACTGCGCGGTATATCAGTTCAAGAAATTGTACTGGGCAGAAAGTGGAGAAAAGTGATACTAGCACAAATCAAAATGTGAACCACCCCTGCCGGCTAAACTTTAAAAAGATAATACCCCACTTGGCTGTTCCAAGCTTAGCTTTGCATTGTGCAGTTGCCAGTTTTTAATTCGATTTCCATCCATGCCAGATCAATGCAAACTGCGGAGTAAATGGCTAGTGTTGATAGTTCCTCGGCTTCTCCAAAGCAACCCTGGACAAATCCAAGGGATTCCAGGCTCTGCCCCACGGCCCTGAATCCACAGATATCGTGTTGAGCTGCACAGCATCTGAAGGTGCGCTAGCATCCTGCACTCTGGCACAAATGAATAAAGAGACCAAGATCCCAGTCCCATTGAAAGACCTTTTATTTTCTTTATTTCAGCTGGTCAAAGACTGGTCCCATGTGGTGTAAGGACAGGCCGTCACAAGAAAGCTGCCCGTCTTCCCCTGGCTTCCGGGCTCCCCTGTCAGTGCAATACTGGGGGCTCTCCGAATGTGTCCACATCAGGAACCTGGCAGACGGATGCAGGCACAAGGCAGTTTCCTTGCTTAGAGCTGCCACATCCATCGTCTGGCGAGCCACGGTGTTGTTCAGCCTCCAGCAGGAGAGGAGGAAGAACAACAAGAAGGGGGGCCCTGGATGAGGACTGCAGGAGGTCTCTTTCTGCCTTCCCAGCTGGTCCCCTTGTGGGGAGGGTGGGGGGAAGAGTCTGTGGTTCTGTTTGCCTTATGAAGACCTTAAAGAAAAGAGATCCACATAATCCCTCTTCTCATATTTCCTGCCTGGGCATCAGTCTTGGGTGCTTTTTACAAATGGCCTCCCTCTGGATATAGGAAATAGAAATATATATATATATACAAGAAGAGCAGGGGTGGGGAGGGAAGTGAGGGGAGGTGAGTGAAACTAATCGCTTTGTTAAGAGGTCTGTTTATGAATCCCAGACGATGGGTGCACTTCTCTTCCTGCCTGGCAGCTCTCTGCTTTCTGTCCTTTTGTCCTCTCAGTGATGGGAACAGCGCACGGAGAAAGAGAGACAAGTGGCTCCAACTCTCTTATTGAACTGAAGAGGAAAGAATAGCTCCTTAAAGCAGATTTGGGAACAAAAATACATAGAGAGAGAGGTTGTTTTTTCCCCCAAGCTTTAAGGTTCATTTGTAAAGGATCTCCAGGCAATCCTCCCCCAGCTGCCCACATGAGCGAGACTGGCTACTCTCCGGAAGTGCCTCAAAGACCCAAACAAGGGCTGCTCCTCATGAAGGGTCTCCTCCTCCTCAGGTGTCAGCTCCTGATATAAGGAGAGGGCTTCAGAAGAAGCAGCCCTGAGGATGGGACAGGCAGGCACATGCCCTCTGCCAAAGGCGTTTCTGAGTCCTCTAGATGGACTAGCAACTTGCTGGTCAACATGTCCCAAAACAGGTTCTTCAGAACACACCTTTCTAACGGATGGAGTCCACCATGTTTTTTTACTCCCTACTGGTTCAAATGGCACAACCAGAGTACACTGCAAGGGGAGTACTAGAGACAGGGACATGGAAAGGGGGAAACACAATCCCAAGAGCTGTGTGAAACTTGGGCGCAACAGCTGGTGTCCTAAAGAATGCCCGGTTTTATCATGGCTTCTTGTTTCGGTCACTAGAAAGCTTTCCTAAGAAAGCTGTTCCCAAGAAAGCACAATTCCGGGTGAGCCTTTTTGGAAAACGCTTAGGGACACGGGGGTCAAACTTGTTTTTCTCCTCAGAATTTAGGGAGACGTTGGTTTGTCACAACACGTGGCTTCTCTCGTCTGCGGCATATCTTCCATTTAGTGAGCTTTGCTTTGTGATTGGTCCACTAGAAGGTAGACAGGGGCTTAATTAGCAAGTCTGATGGCTGAAGGGAAGTGTCTAAGGAAATTCCTTTGATTTAAGGGAAACATGTTCATCAGAACGTCTTCTTTGACTCAGTGTTTTGCCTGGCAGCTGGCCAATACAGGGGAGAAAAAAGACAGTTGGATATTTACAAGGTAAAGTCATCGATTTCATTGTAACACAGGTAAATACTAGTGAGTTAAAAGTGAGGGTCTAAATGGCACCCTTCCAGAATCTCGTTTTACAAAGCAAGGGGGAGAAACTGGGGATGGTGGTGGGTGTTGGTGGTTTACAAATGGCAGAAGCAGCTAGCAGTGGAATGATGCGGCCCAGCCCGAGGTGGGTCGAGTTTGTCCTTTCGCGAAGGAAGGGCCAGCTTTGAATTAAACCTCCTCCCCGGCAGGTGGATGGTGACCTCCATGCCTTATATCTGGGGGGCCTTTGACTCTTCCAAAAGGCAGAAAGGGAAACCCAAGTCCTGCCGGTTGCCTGGGTGGGACATGCAGCTGCGTTTCCGGGGGGAGGGGGAAGGGAAAGTCACCTCCTGGTGCTGTGGCTCCCACCCAGAAGAGCAGGTCGGAGGCTAAGCTGACTAGCTGGTCTTTCTCCGTCTACGGCTGCCCTGGAGGAGCTGCCGATCCTGTCCCAGAAACAATCAGCCCTCCGTCTGCCTGTTCGGGGGAGTGGAGGATTCGTGGGGGAGGGAGGTTTGAGATGCATGTCTAGACCGCCGGGGGGGCAAAGGGTGGTGAGTGACCAAAGGGCTCATGCGAATGGGTGGGTGGGGGGGTCAACGTGTCTCTAGGGTGGGGCACATCTTTGACACATTCGTTCTGTAGCCACCTGGCCCCACATCTCTCTGGCTACTGGGAGGGCATGCTCCCCCCCTGACCGCAGGAAGGACAGGGCAGGTGAGGGGGTTGCATGTGTGAGAGAGAGCATCTGTGGAGGGGGACCATGAAGGACAGGAGGAAGAGACACCCCCCTCACCAGGCCATTCCACGCCCAAACGCCGAGCGCCAACCAGTCTAGAGAGCGCAGGCAACATCGTCCACGGAGCGTTTCTTGAGCTCCTTCCCCGGTTTGTGGTGGTGGTGCTGATGGTGTGGGTGGGCGCCGGTCAGTTTGCCCTGGTCGGAGGAGAGCGGCACGCCCAGCCGCTGGGTGTCTTGCAGGTGCTCCGTTGGGGGGATGCGGTGGCGGGTCTCGGGGGGCTCCTCCGGCTCCACCCGCAGGTAGGCCTTCACCTTGTGGGGGCGGGCCTTGCTGTCGCTGAAGTCGATCACCCGGCACTCGTAGGTCCCTTCGTCCGTCGGCTTGACCCGGGAGAGCCTCAGCTTGTGGGAGATGTTGCTGCCGACCACTTTCACCACCTGGAGGAGCGGAAGAAGGAAGAGGGCGCCCGGGAGTGAAGGCACGGAGGATAAGGAGGCATGCCAGGACAAACCATCTCTAAAAACACACAGCCCATTCTTGCTAACCCATTGGAGACCCCCCTTGGCTCAAGGCGTGTATCTGGTGGTCCTCCTGGGCCTCCATCTAGGGCCACCTCCCCTTCCCCCCCACAGGGCCATTCCCCATCTCTGTGCAGAGTCCCTCCTCTGATCTCAAACCCTGGAGGGCCTCTCAGGTCAAGGTGTGGCGGGCCCTTCCTTGGTTGGCCCTCCATCAGCCTCCCTGCCCCTGGAAGGTGGCCCCGGGGACCTTTTCCCCCAAAGTTGAGCTTGGCCTTCCAGAGCTAGTCTGTAGCCAGGGTGGAGGAAGGGTGTGTGTGTGTCTCTCCTCACTGCAGTCCCACCTGGAGCCCTGTTTCATACCACCTAAAATGTTCGCTTTCAAAATCTGTGCCATTTGCCTACAAAGAATCAGAGCTTTTTTCTTCTTCTTGCAATAGGAAAAGAAAAATCTTCAAATATCTGGGCAGGGCTTTCCCCTCCAGTCCCCTTCCTTTCCCACCATCCCCAGCCCATCCTGGATTGTGTTTCCATCAACAACGATGGAGTGTCCATCCATATCTTTACTTTCACCCTCCTGCAGTGATATCTTATTTTACCTATTTATTAAGAGGAGCACTGTCTAGGTTTTCTATCGCCCTAGCAATAGTTGAATTTCTTCAATTGCTCTTGGTTTCAAAGAATAAGGAAACATCCATACTTCAGACCATGACGTGGAGGTGGGGATTAGAAAAGCGGCCTTCTGTGGAAGTACAAGTTTGCTAAAAGGAAGCCATAAAATTCATCTGGAGACCCCTGGTGAAATGCATCCCCCCCACATTAAGCCAGAGAGACGAAGGGAAGCCAATGAAGTCCACAGCAAAACCAAGGAACAGCAAAATATTTCTCGCTCCTCCTGCCTTTATTGGATCAGCCAAGATTCCCTGAAATATTCCAGGCAGAGCTGAACAAATCGCTCGGCTCTTTGGAAAAGATTTTGCTCTCTCCATCTTGCTCCTTGTCCCACGTGCTAAGTCTTGTTTTGCTTTCGAAATAGCTGTTTGGTTTCTTTGCTGTGCTTTGGTTTTATTTTAACCGAAAGCTTAGATGGTGGATGGAGCTTTGCCACCTCCCCACCTTGACGCAACCTGGATGGTACGGACAGTAAAATGGTCAGCGGAAAACATGGTTTTAATGAAGCAATAATTTTTAAAATACCCAAGTCCTTTAAAGATGTGTGTATGTGCTGTTGCTTGCGGCCAGCAAAGAATCAATAGGTATTTTGTGTGATCCTCTGTAATTTGACCTCATCTTTACTTGGTTTCATTTGTAATGTTTCAGGTTTATAACATAGGTCAGTTGGATATTTTTTTTCTTAAAAAAGAGAGATATCCTTATTGGTCACATTGACTGAGGCAGCCAGTAATCCTATTCATTTACCTAAAAGCAAACTGCATTGTACTCAGTGAGCCTTCCTTCTGAGCCAAGCTGCACAGGGCTGTGAACTGATTTTAAGCCGTCCTGACTGAGCATTCCTCAGCAGAGAGGGAGGCTGTGAATAATAAGCCCCAAAAGCTAATAATGAATGTTCAGTGAAAATGAGCAGTGTGCTGAAAAATCCTCCCAGGTGTGGTTAGCGATCTGCGCCATGCGTGTAAAGCATGCTCCCTATACACATATAACTGGCTCAGTCAAGGAAAGGATTGTCCAGAATTGGAAAATGTAACCATTTTGAGCTATCGATCTGTTTGGGATGGGTTCTGGAAGCTACAATCCAAAAAAAGTTATTTTTCTAAGCTCAGAGGCAACCATGGAGCATTTCCCCAAGCATGCTGGCTTGTACATCCAGGAGACAGTTTATCGGCACGCACGCACGCACGCGACGTGGGGACATGGGTCAATCTGCAGCTGAGAAGTGCAAAAGAACCGCTCCTCTCTCTTGAGTCTGTCATTAGCCATGTTTTTGCCTCCTGAGGCAACTTACGTTCTGCATCATGTTGCCCTCTTGGCTGCGTCAGGCCCTTTTCAAGAAGGACTCCATCTCTGACGATCCTCTCCCACGTTCAGTCCACGCTGCCTAAAAGACTCCACCTCCAGCAGCCCCAACGTGAGTGGAGATGTTTGTGAGAAAGGCGCGAGCGAGCTCTGAGCCATGTAGTGGTGGAAGCCATGGAATCCTAGAACCATGAAGCTGGAAGGGGCCTAGAAGGCCATCCAGTCCAACCCCCTGCTCAGTGCAGGAAGAGAAATCAAAGGATACCTGCCAGGCGGTTGTCTGAGTTCCTCTTGAAGGCCTCCAGCGTTGAAGCACTCACCACATCCCGAGGCCATGGGTTCCATTGTTGTACTGCTCTAACAGTTAGGTAGTTCCACCCCCTCCACCCCCCAGATAGTCAGCCTAAATCTGGCTTCCTGTAATTCATTGTTGCGTGTCCTGCACTCTGGGATGACTGAGAACAGATCTTGCCCCTCTTCTGTAGGACTACCTTCCAAGTCTTTGAAGAGTGCTCTCCTATCTCTCCTCCATCTTCTTTGCTCAAGGCTAAACAGACCCAGTTCTTTCAGCCTTCCCTCCTCCTAGGGCTCGGTTTCCAGCCCCCCTGATCCTCCTTGTTGCCCTCCTCTGAACTTGGTCCACTGGGGAAAGACAAGGGGGTTTGGGAAACTGGGTCAAGCCACCACTTAGCCATAAAACTCACTGGTTGACCTTTGGACCCCATTGCTTTGACTCAGCTTGACCTACCCAAGAGGGCTGTCATGAAGATAACATGAAGAGAAAGCCACCAATCGGATTGGCTGAAAGGTGGGAAATAGGTAGTATAACAATTCATAAGCGCAGCCCTGGGGTGCTTCCCTGGGCCCTTGAAAAGGCCCAGCGAAATCTAAAATACAGGTGAAAACATTTTTCTTGCCCCTGTAGGGTGGAATGAAGGACAGCACAGAACTTGAAAAATAACTCTCTAAAAATGCTTTAAATATAACTTTGGGAAATGACCAAATAAAGGGCTATTCTTTACACCAGAAAGATAACTTTGTACCTGCTTGTTACAAAGAAAGGTAACTCTGTACCTGGAGCCCCTGCAAGAAACTTGGTTTCCGTGAAGCCGGGTCAATGTTAGGGGGCAAACGTTCTGCCTGGGTGAGCCCAACGCTCTCCCTGTATTATTCCTCAAGCTAATTGGTTACAGGTAATTCAGTTACTTGTAACGAGTTACTGCCCAGTCCTGTAAATCGATGAGGCCATCTCCTCCTGGATGCCCCTTTTCCGGGTGATTCGCCGCCACCCCCCTCCGTTGCTGCTGCTCCAACCCACCATGATCTCCATCCAGAGAAGATGGAATCCCTCCTGCTGTGTGCGCGGAGCCCGTTCTGCGATCGATGCAGAATCCTGCCAGCTAATTAGCTTTCCTACCAAATTGATTTGCTCTCAGTATTTATCACCTAATGAAATTTAAGACTTACTCCCTAGCCGGAGGCGCTGCTCCCGCTGTGCTTGGGCCAGGTTAATAAATCAGGTTTTATGACCCCACCGACCCACCTGCAGGCGGGCAAGGCTGGCTCTGTGCCTTCCCTGCACCACCACCGGGGGGGGGCCTCGGGGGCCCCCAAGACCTCCACCCGCGGACCTCCACCCTCCAGCACCAGAGATTCTTCCAGTGTTAAGGGAACAGCCAGAGGTTGTCCAGCAAACCCCCCCCCCGCCCCCAATTTCTGAAGGGCCAAGGAAGGCAAACCAGGAAAGATGGCCTGCCGGTGCTGGGAGTGCAGGACAGATTTATTTATGCCCTGACTACGCACAGCAACCGAGCAGCCCCTGGCGGGGGGGGTGTTTAAGGGGCAGGGGGAGGGATGTTTTCTGGTTGCAGCGGGCACACATTCTCATCCAGCCCTGCCTTCCCTCGTTGGGGGTTTGCCAGATGGCTGGCCATCCTGGCTGGGAAGGGCGAGAGAAGGACCGTCTCGCGTAGACATCCGGAGGGTGTGCATCCAGTCCAGGGCATTCTGTCCAACTCCCCAGAAGGCCTTGGAAGGTACTCAGCCGAGGGTCGGGCAGGGCAGCTGTGGGACTCCCTGGGAGAGAAGGGACAGGCTCCAGAGCTTGGAGAGATTTCCCCCACTAACCAGAGTCCCCCGGCTCTGCCTGTCACCAACACCTCTGGACGTTCAGGGCCATTTCTAAACTGTTGCTTGGAAGGGGGGGGGAGAGTTCCAACCCTTGTATGACATTTACATTTGGCTAAGGAGCTGCTGGCAGCAAAAAGCTGAGGACCATAACTATAAAGATAACCATTCCCTCCCCAAGAACACACCCATCACCAGAGTTTCCGTGTTTTCCCTTATGGAAACTCTGCCCCCAACCATCACAGGGTTTTACCCCCTGCCTATCCACCATTCTTGTGGCTGCTCCACATGGCTGAGGGGGCAACTGCTTCTGTCCCCCCTCACCCTCCTCAATAGAGGTGACACCCCCCTCCATGGAAGCTCCCCAGAGAACTTCCCATCTGGGCCCACTGGGAAAGGAAGATGTGGCTTTTCAGGGATTTTACCTTGTGTCTTCCATCCCTCCTATCCATACTTCTTCCTTCAAACCCTTTTGAAGGAATCAGTTCTTCAGCATACCTACTCGTTCAGCAAGGGTTGCCACCTGCATTCAACGGAGGAATTGCTGCTTCATTGGTTATTCTCAGTGGGCCAACGCGAAATTGATCACAGAATCGTAGAATTGGAAAGCTGTAAGAGACCGCCACCCGGCAAATTGTTCGGGAGACGGCTCAGGCATCCCTGACAGATGGTCCTATGACCTCTGTTTAAAGACCCTTGAATGAAGGAGTGGACTGCCCCTTTTCTGGGGCCATTTATCCTACAGCCCAGCAGTCTCTCCTGTCGATGGGCTCTTCCTAACCTTTAGGTGAAATCTCCCGTCCCGTCATTTGAACCCG